TTTCTCGGTCACATCATCACAACTGAGGGTATAAAACCAAATCCCAACAAGATACAAGCAATTGTCAAATTCCCAATTCCAAAAACCCCAAAAGAAATAAAATCATTTCTAGGATTATGTGGTTTCTATAGGAAATTTATACCAAATTTCGCTAATATAGTAAAACCATTAACACTTAAATTAAAAAAAGGAGCAAAAATCAATATAAAAGACAGAGACTACGAGCTAGCGTTTGAAAAGCTAAAAGTACTCATAACATCCGACCCAATTTTAATATACCCTAACTTCGAAAAACCATTTTCATTAACTACAGACGCGAGTAATATGGCAATAGGGGCCGTCCTTTCGCAAGAGCATAAGCCTATATGCTATGCAAGTAGAACTCTCAACGAGCATGAGTTAAATTATTCAACGATTGAAAAAGAATTATTAGCAATCGTTTGGGCCACTAAATACTTTAGGTCCTATCTCTTTGGTCGACAATTTCAAATCCTTAGTGATCACAGACCACTCGTCTGGTTAAATAATATGAAAGAACCTAACATGAAATTACAAAGGTGGAAGATCAAGCTAAATGAGTTTGATTTCCAAATTAAATACGTCCCAGGAAAAGAAAATTATGTGGCAGATGCTCTGTCCAGAATTCAATTAAACGAAAACTTCTTAGGCGAAGATACAATTAGCACAAGAGCAACAATACATAGTGCTCAAGAAGACAACAGTAACCATTTACAAATCACAGAAAGACCACTTAATTATTATAATCGACAAATAGAATTTGAAAAAGGAACCGAGAACGAAACAAAAGTTACGAATTACTTTCACAAAACCAACATAAAAATTACGTACAAAGACATGACTAATACGCATGCCAAAGAATTAATAAAAGAATACTTATGCACAAAGAAAAGTGTGCTATACTTCCACAACGAAGCAGATTTTCCAATTTTTCAAGAAGCCTACTTAGAAATAATAAGTCCGAATAATTCAACAAAGGCAATGAAAACTAGTACAAAATTAATAGACCTTCAAACATACGCAGAATTCAAAGAATTAATATTAAAAAAGCACAAAGAATTATTACATCCAGGAATTGAAAAAACTATCAATTGGTTCAAAGAAACCCACTATTTCCCAGATTATCAAAATCTAATTCAAAATCTAATAAATGAATGTGAGATTTGCAACATCGCAAAAACAGAACACAGAGATACAAAATTAACTTTCGAAATAACTCCGGAAATCGCTAATATCCGAGAAAAATATGTAATGGATTTTTACATAGTAGGAGATAAACAATTTTTATCTTGCATTGATATCTATTCAAAATTTGCATCATTAATAGAAATAAAAAGTAGAGACTGGCTAGAAACCAAACGAGCTATATTACAAGTGTTCAACCAAATGGGTAAACCCATCGAAATAAAGGCAGACAAAGACTCAGCTTTTATGTGCACAGCTTTACAATTATGGCTAAAATCAGAAGCAGTAAATATTAATATAACCACTAGTAAAAACGGTATATCCGACGTAGAACGATTTCATAAGACAGTTAACGAAAAACTAAGAATCATTAACAGCGACTCAGACGTCGAAAATAAACTTACAAAATTTGAAACTATACTCTACACGTACAATCATAAAACAAAGCACAAAACGACTAACAGAACACCAGCGGACATATTCATATATGCAGGTACACCAGAGTATGACACTCAAGCTAATAAAGAAAAACTAATAAATAACCTCAACAAAAACCGAAGAAACTTTTAACAATTTAATTGAACAAAGTAAAGAATTCAATAACCTTATACAAATCGAATACCTAGTAGAAAAATTAAACAGAGAAATAAACGGCTTAAAAATAGCCAAACGTAGCAAAAGAGGTTTAGTTAACATAGTAGGAACAGCATATAAATACTTATTTGGAACATTAAATCAAGAAGACAAAGCAGAAATTGAACAAAAAATAAGCAACTTAGCAGAAAACAGCGTTCAGGTTAACGAATTAAATTACATAATAGAAGCTATAAACAAAGGAATAGAAATCATGAACGAACTAGATCAAGAGAAACAAAAAGGAAAGAAATTAGATATCCTTATATTTAACTTACAACACTTTACAGAATATATAGAAGACATTGAGATGGGAATGCAGCTCACAAGATTAGGAATTTTTAACCCAAAATTACTAAAACATGACTATTTGTTGCATGTTAATTCTGAGAAATTGTTGAATACAAAAACTTCCACTTGGTTTAAATCAGATACAAACGAAATACTGATAATATCCCATATTCCTCGAGAAATAATAAAAAGCCCGGTATTCGAAATAATTCCATACCCGGATGAAAATAATAATATTTTGACAGAAATAGCTCATGAAAAATATTTTACCCAAGATAAAAAAGTTTATAGCAGAGAAACAAAAAAATTAATTAATAATGAATGTTTAACAGGAATTTTAAACCAAATAACATCAGAATGTAGTTATACTAAAATTTTGCAAAATTTTCAAATCAACTACATAGAACCAAATATAATTTTAACTTGGAATTTACCAAAAACTATATTAAACCATAATTGTATAAATAACGAAATAACAATAGAAGGAAACAATATAATAAAAATCTTTAATTGTTCATTGCAAATTAATGAAATTTCAATTTCAAACAATATGTTAGATTATACTCAAAGCATTTACGTAAGCAATGATGTTATAAAATTAGAACCACTTTCGTTTGTACAAACGAAACAAATTATAAATGCACATACAAAATTTAACAATGTATTCCAGATAATTACAATAACCATATTTGTAATCATATTAATAAGTTTAACACTGTATTTGACATATAAGTTCAAAAGCATACCTAAGAAATTAATTATAAAATATAAAAAACCCAAAGTAGAAGAAACACCTACAATAATAGGAGATATACCAATTCTAAAAGAAGAAAATGTTACACTATATCCAAACTTAAACACCTGAGGACAGGCACTTTTCTAATGGTTGGGGGAGTGACATATCCATAGTCGCACCCACCCTTTAACATAACTTAGCACATAAGCATAAGCACAATTATAAACATTTCTAATATTGTAAACAAAGAGCCTGGTGATAACATCGACATTGGTCAAGATCAAACTGTCCCCCTTTGGTAGACATAAACAATTCACCCTAAATATCACGCCACTGTCAATGTTCCCATCAGAGTACTATCCCACGCATAATTGCTGACGCAGCTCAAACTTCACTCAATTTTGACTCAAACTCTCTCAAAGCGAAGTTTGCTAAGCGACCGCAACAGTTAGATAAATCAGTTCATATTCGGGAAGCAAATCTGAATGTACTCAACAAAAGTAGCCGTTAAGTGAAAATAATAAATTGAAATATATTTTTTTATAGTAACCTAACGTGTAAAACTTAATTATATATATATATATATGTAGTTATACTAGCATATACATCTATGACTATCACGTCACAAACGTGCCGTTACTAATGATAACGGCACCACATGTCGCACGCCTCAACGCTCGGGGCTCCCACCCCAAGCAGTAAATGGATCGACACATAAGTTGTATATACCATATAAAGCACATTGAGTCGATTGCATTAACTTACGTTAGCCATCACATTTGGGCTTGGATAGTACGAGTACTCAGAAACACAATGTGAGTATTATGAATGTCGAAAGTCCATAACTGGAATGCACGAGTTCCACAAGAAACTGTTCAATGTGATAATCAAGCTATGTATGTAGGAACATGCACTGATAATTACCGCTACTCATTGATTAGATTAATCAGCATGACTGTACCTACATACTGACTTACTTTTATTAAGTCACATTTGTAGATAGGTGTGGTCAGTAATGGGATTCACTTTTACACATCCGAGGTTTCAGTAACTTGCTTATTCACAATGTGAATGAATCTTAAAGTATAATTACATATTGTTGGAAAAAAAAAAAAAACAGAAATGTAATAAATATGCAGAAGAACATACATAAAAAGTTTGTACCTATATTTATTGCAAACTATTACGAAATATATTTTTGATTCTTACACAAATATTTTCGAGATTCATAGAGTTCAGTTGAGTACAATTCTTTTTTTTAGCTGGTTTTCTTGAATGTAACCATAATTTCTTAACAAGTTCCAAAGAATGTGTGCAAAATATAAAAATTCAAATATCTGTACGCACAAAACAGATATGCACGAACACACGTACTGAGTGCGTACACACATTTATGCAAACATTTGTGTGTATACACTTGTTGCGCATTTCTTTTCAATATGTGTTACCTCTTTGATGATCTGCCAGGCTGTAGCTACATATGTATGTATGACAGCTTATCAGCTTTCATCTGTCAACGGGTGCAGCTTATCAAATTGGGGGAACAGAAACTGCATTTTGTGCGTGTGTGTGGGTGTGTGTGTGTGTGTCTGTGGGTGGGGAGGGGTTGCTCCATAAGCGTGAAAACAACAAAGTCAAAAATTCATTTCAATTTTGTTACGCACGCAAGCACTGGGGCCAAGGTGTGCCGGCGTGCAAGTGTGTACACACTCTTTCGTTGGTTAACCGTAATTAAAACAATGGCACTTTTTGTTTATACAAGAGCGAGACAGCGCAAGAGAATAACACAGTGCGAGACAAAGAGAGAGAGAGAGATTGAGTGAGGGCGAACGTAAACAAAGGATAGCACCAATTGCTGCCTGCTGGCGGCCATTTTGTTTGTTCGATCATTTAACCGTTAGCTAAGAAATGTTTCTTCTAATTTTTCGTTTCTTGTTAATTTAGATTTGGCTTTTATTATTGAAACTGTTGCAGCATTTAAATGTTTTTATGTACATAGAACATGGAGAGATACGAGTAAAATAGAACACTAAACAAACTTACACAATATTACATTTTAATAACAATTAAAACACAATGCAAACGCATTTGGTATGAAAAAAAATTGTAAAAAAAAATGTAGTTACAAACTATAATTTGTTTACAATTACGATACATTTTTGGCATACTTTTGAACTAGACACAAAACTGTCGCTTAAGACTAGCAAAAAAAAAATGAGAAGAATAATAATATTATTTATTAATTAAGTTGAGTTGAGTTTGGGTTAGTTGAAAATACTTGTAATACTTGAGTTCAGGCCCCAGGCTGACTATAATAATACTTTGCATAGCGACCCGCCGCTTATCAGCGTGGTCCCAAATCGATATAGCTATTGGGCCGCATCATTTGGTGCGCTGCCGCCGCGGAGCCGTAGAAGCTCTGATAGCTGCTCATGCCGTACGCGGCGGCTGCCGCCTGCCGCATGTGACCCGTGGAGACCTTCAGCTTGTCATACGGACTGCCATATCCGTGACTGTGATAGTGTGCCGCTGCATTGTGATGATAGATGGCCCCAAAGTTGCTCTGCTCGCCCGCATACGGCTGGCCAATGCTCGAGTAAATATTGGCCGCCGCCATTACCTGAGTGGCTGCCGCGGCTGCAGCCGCAGCACCTGGCGCTGGCGGTGACGCGGAGCTGGCTGAAAGCGGTGTCAATGGCGTTGCTGTGTGCTGATGCTGATGGTGCTGATACGGATGATGATAGCTGCCACCATAGCTGCTGGACATTTGGTGAAGATTCTGCTGCTGCTGTTGCTGTTGCTGCTGCTGATGCTGTTGATGCTGTTGCTGATGCAATTGCTGTACCGCTGGCTGTTGCTGCTGCAGTTGCTGTTGGTGCTGCAGCTGCTGCTGTTGCTGTTGCAGCGGCGTCGCTTCCAACTGAAAGCCCAACAAATCCGGCGAATTGCCCGACGTTGAGCTGCTCGAGGGAGTGGCTGGCAACTGCATGGCCAGTTGAGATGTTGCTGCTGCTGCTGCTGCTACTGCTGCTGCTGTTGTTGCCGTCGCCGCTGCTGCTTGCTGTTCCACGAGCTCTGTGCAGGACAAGCTGAAGCTGTTAGCTGGCGTTCTGTCCTTTGCCTTTAAATGCTGCTGCTGCTGCTGCTGTTGTAGTTGATGTTGTTGTTGCTGCTGCTGCTGCTGTTGCTGTTGCTGTTGCTGCTGCTGCTGCTGCTGCTTCATGCGTGCTTGACTCTCATGGCTCATGCTGGACATACCCAGGCTGCCGCTGGTGCTGTAATTAAAATTTAAAAATCAAAATTTTAAAATTGAAATCGCTTTCGATAAACATTAAACTGGCTTTTTTTTTGATTTGTTTACAATCGACCCTCGGCCACAATGCCGAAATATGAAAAGCCAAGGAACAAAAAAAAAAAAATTGTTTATACCACCGCCAAGGCAGGCAGGCACATCTGTCAGCTGCCCCATCATAGCCAGCCGGAGCTGCTTATGCTCCATATTCTAAGTTGAAGTTCTCGCACCCATTTTGAGTTATTGTTTCTAGTGTTTTATTTTTGTAGATGCGACGCGTCGGCAATTCCCGGAATGACTTTAACATCAGCGGTCGACGGACTGTCTAGTGGGCCACTTGTATTTGAATTGTGATCGACGATCTGTTCGGGCGCTGCTCTAAGTGGGTCAATTTCATAACAAATAATATCCATCTATCTACCATAACACTTATACAGTACAGTCATATTTGATCCCAAACGAATTTGTATATGAAATAACTACGATTGGTGGGAAATTGGGCTTAGCTAAAACTTGCTCACTAAATAAATAAATAACTAAATTTAGTTTACGTTTTTTTTTTTTTTTAAGGTTTGTTTTGCTTTTCTTTTAGAGTTTTTACTTAATAAAAATCATCAAAGATATTTCTTATAAATATGCTTGTTAGAGTTTTTAATCAAAAATTCAGATTCCCATATCGTTTTCCTGTTGTATTTCGGAGTAGCAAGGGTATTTTTTCTTCGCCAACCAAAAGATATTTTTGTTGTTTTTTTTTTTAACAATTATGTCCTAAGGCTTATTTATTCGCTTATGTGTCGTCTTTTTGTGAAGGCTTACACAAGATTTGTGTGTGTTGCTTGAGCCATACAATTTATTCAATTTATAAACAAACATAAATATGTATGTATATCTTCATTCTATGCATGTTTTGTGTGTCTATTAAGACTTAAAAATGATAAGTTATATTGGCCTACTTACACATCGTTGGTGCCATCATCTCGAAATCCTTTGGCGAACGGATTGCTCGATATTTTCAGTTGTGTCACCTGCAACAAAATAAAACGTAAAAAAAAAAACCAAGCACACGGAAAAATATGACAAATTTCATTTTTCACGCAAATGTGTTTAAATTGTTTTGGCCCCAATTATGTTAATAATAGTCATTGTGTGTTTGTTGTTGTTTTTATTTCGTTAAATGCAACAAATTAGAGAATGTTTACAAAGCATTAAAGAAAACAGCAACTACATAAGCAACAACAACACAAACACACACACACACACACACACACTCACACCCACAAATTTATTTGCAATAAATTGTGGAACGAAAAGTGTTAACACCCACGTTGAGCGCATAAATAATTTAAATACTTTCGGTTAAATGGCGCTAAAAATAAAATGCCAGAGATTTTTCATATTTATATTTTTTTTCTTGTTGCTGTCCACCACTTGGAAAATTATGAATTTCACTCGAGAAATATTCGACAATAGTGTATTAGAAGTTTTTCAAGCAGACCGATTTTTAAATGCCGTTCAAGTAAATTCCTTTTCTCGGTTATTTCTAATATTTATCTTTCATCTGTTATTTGTGCAATATTAAGCGTGTGATAATAGAAATAAATAGGGATACATTATTAATTTGGTTCCTGGCTTAAATCATATATCATTCTAAGGTTAGGTCTCAGTAGTAGCTACATATAACAGATGTTGATATTTTTACATAAACTATAAAGTTCAATAATTATTTCCTATATTGTCTCACAGTTTTATACACATTTTACATATTTTCAAGCTACATTTTTTTAGTCGTTAAAACCATTTGAGGATAAAACAAAAAAGTTTAAAAATCTTCTTTGTAAAGTGTATCTGACAGTCGATTTTGCTGTTATATGAAACTAGCTCATGTATTGTATTTTTGGTTTTGTAAGATAGAATCCCCTTCTTAACTTGGATGTTAGGCATTGTAAATTTACAATCATAAATAACACCAGAAATTTAAACATTAACAATAAGGCCAAATTGGCATAAAATGCCAGCGAAAGCTTTGTAAAATAATTATATACACATGGGTGTTCGGAGCAGAAGGCAAACAAAGGGGGCGGAGGGCCTAAAATCGTGTCGACCAAATGTTTCAAAAATGTAAATTTGAAAACCGAAAAGCGTTCACGCCTGTCGCTTACAAGTGGGTCCGATGACAAGTGGGTCAAGTAGTGCCCCGTACCCTGTTCCCATGTCCATGCCGATGCCCCTGCCCAAGTCCAGGCCCAAGCCCATTTACTCACCCGCTGGTTCTGGTATGCTGTTACGGCCGTAAAACTGGTCTCCGGGAATATGAACGTGCGAAAGTGACTCGAATGCTCGTTCTCATCCAGCGAGGCATTCTTTGGCGGCAAGTAGACCAAGTGGAAGCGCGGCTGGTAGCGATGCATGGAGTTCAATATGATCTGTGAATGGCAATTGTATGGGGCAGAGAGGAAGACATATGTGTATGTTATATGCGTGCAGAGTGCTTTCGGATGACGGCTGCCGGTTTTTGTTTAGCGCTTTCAAAACACAACAACAAATAAATGTTGTTTGGCGCGGGCGGCAGCCAAATGTTTTATTCCCCCGCATAAACAAAAGCCATAAGCATAAATTTATGGCCCAACTAAAGGCTGCTACTCACATGCCCATTCTCATCCAGCTGATTGTTGGTCAGCTTCAGCTTGTCGAAGGACACAATTTGCTTCATCCAATTGGCGCCCGCCGCTGGCGAATCCGGATGCACATGTATCCGCGGTGGCGATATCGCGTCCGCCTTGCCCGCCACCACCCAGCACGAGCTGCAGAAGAGACAGAGACACCAAGTTGAACAGATGTGCTAAGTTGTCACAGACCAAACTGGATAATACTTGTGAAACGCATAGCGATAACGCTTATCATCCATCGGCACAAAGTCCATCATGCATATATAGGTGGCATGCGGATCGAGGCCGCCAATCCGCACTTGAAACGTGGGAAACATGCGACGACCCGTCTTCGTAATGATCATCTCAGTGCCCTGTGCGTGAAACTGATCCCACAGCGCCTTCGTTTCCAATACAACAATGGCCTGCGCCAGCGATGGATGCACTGCCTCCGGTTCCTGAGTGAATTTATAGAACACAAGGCAAATAATATAGAAGTCCATATGGGGAAAGACGCATAAGAACGAAAAAAAACCCAAGAATTTGGCGGCATTTGGCAAAGCACTGATTTATATTGAAAAAAAAGTTTTGTTTCCGACCGATTATTGTAATAGGTCGATTTCATCCGGCTTGTAAATATATATAAGACCGATTCTTCAGCCAAAGCTTCCATCTCATGCATTTGCTATTTAATCTGCATGTTAAAATTTACAAGGCAGTTAGGCTTTTAGAATGCTACGCTTGTATTGCTGCCACCTTGCAACACATTGCACATATGCAACACCGAATTGCAATTAGCACTCTAACTTTTCGCAAGCTTTTTGCAAAATTTTATTTCACTTCGTCCGGTCAACGCACTTGAACTTTAACATGAGCATGGTTTTTGGCAAAATGTTGGTTAATAACTGGTTTCTATTTGATTCAAATATTTTGAAAGTTTTGTCACTTACACCCTTGTTGTTGCTGTTGTTCTTGCTGCTGCTGTTTGACGTGTTGTTGTTTGTTGTGATATTGTTGTTGTCTTTTTTGTGGCTGTTCTTATACTTTTTGGCCGCTGCTGCTGTTGTTGTTGGCGTTGTTGCTGCTGTTCCTGTTGTCGACTCATTAATGTTGCTGCTGCTGCTGCTGTTGTGGCTGCTGCCGCTGCTGTTGTTGTTGCCGCCGCCGCCGCCGCCCGGGTAATCTGAAACAGCGGACGTCTGCTCCTGACAGTTTCCGGCGCTGCTCGATTGGCTGCTGCTGCTGGTGCTGTTGCTACCTGTGCTCTGCGCATCGATGTCCGCCAGCTTGGCATCGATCTGTTCAAGTGGCTTGTACGAGGTGCGATCCTTGCCCGCTGTTTGTATGCAAGCTGTGAATGAGGCACGAGCGGATTTCGATTGACAGATTTGTTTATGGCTAGCTAAACAGTGTGTGTAAATAAACCAATGTTCTGGCAGTAAGCCTGTATCTAGGATTTAAATATACTATATATATACATTATATCTACTTATGTTCATTAGCCGCTTGTAAAGCAATTTTTGGAATATAAAGATAATGTGCATCAAGATGAATGTTATGTGTACAAGAAACTTGAAAAGTTAAGAAAAGAACGTAATACGATCCTATCGTGTTTGATCTGATATGGTGTGGTATGTACTTGTCTACTTCTAAAGGATAGCAGCTCAGATATATAGACTTATGGGCTGAAGAACATGTGTAGATCGACTCTGCTGTTATTTTGAATAGATGAATATGCTAGTTCAATATATAAAGTTCCTTCTCTTAACTCGGAATACTTGTCCCCTATTTAGCAATTTAAATCAAGTACTTCAATTTGCTTAACATATAGAAATAAATAACTTTTGCATTTAGCACATTAAGGATTGGGCATAGAAAAATGTATAATTTTTCATTTTTTAAAACGTCAAATATTACTTTTCGGTTGCAAGCTTATCAAATCAAAAAATCATTATATATTAAATATTTTCTATCTTGAGAATATAGTAGTAACCTAGCTATTCTAAAATACAGGGTAATAGTTTTTAAAAATTACTTTTTATAATAACAATATAACAATATTATTGATAATAATAAGATGAATAATAATAATGATAACAATAATGGTAATCATAATGATAATGATTAATTACAATAATAATAATAATAATAATAATAATATTAATAATAATAATAATAATAATAATAATAATAATAATAATAATAATAATATTGATAATATTGATAATGATAATGATAATAAAAAATCAGTTAGATGAGATTATTATTATTATTAAAATTTTATTCATTAATCAAATTAAAATGTTCAGTTTTGATAAATCTTAAACACAATCCATATCTCACAGAATTAAATGTTTGCTCACAACCAGGAAGTATTTGCATATAACTTTGAGAACAGAAAATATTTGAGACGCCGAACAAGCGATTTTATAGACTGCCAAAGATTTAAAAACTATGAAAAATAAATCGAAATACTGCTGTCTAGAAAAACAGATATTGTCTATAAATCTTATTAAAAGGAATTTATAATATGAAATTGTATTTCGGATTTGCTTCTCAGGTGTGACATGGTGCAAAAATTTGCAGAACAAATTAGCGGAAAAGCCACGCACATAAATCAGTTGAGATTTATATGTGGAAACGAGTGTTGGCCAACTGTTTTCATATAGTTTGCAGATCAAATATATATAAATATATATGTATAAGCATATATATTTTGATTTATTTGATTTAAAGTATGACATCAAACAGATGTCTCCGGAGAAGGTCGCGCAGGCGCAGGCCAAAGGATGGTGGTGCAAGAAGGGGCTGGTCGGGAATAATGAGGATTCGCGCACACGACAAATTGGATCAGGCGGGTATAATGAGCGGCATATAAAACCAGCGAGAACAGCGCCGATCCAATTATAAAAGTCGTCAGAGCAGCGGCTGTTGATTGAGTTGCCAGCTAAATTTAGTGCCCCCGCGGCGGCCCTTCAAATAGGGAGAGGGCAGAGAGAGAGAGAGAGAGAGAGAGAGAGAGAGAGAGAGCGAGAGAGAGAGAGCGAGCGGCCTGTAGGGCGGCGGACGTGGTGTAAGACAAGGCAACAGGCGCCTCGGCCTGGGCCCGGGGCTTGTCAGCAATTTCGCAATTAATTGCCGCATGTAGCAAGTGCCAGCCGTTGCAGTTGCAGTTGCAGTTGCATTCCGTTTGCTTGCCGCTTGCTGTTGCTGCCACCGCCAATGACCCATGACAGGTCGCCGTCGCACGCTCCAACATCAATTGTCGTTTAATGAGCCCATTCTTGTTGTTGTTGTTGTTGCTGTTTTGGTCCGCCAGCGATTTAGCCGGCAGCCGCTTCACGAATGAATTCTAAAATCAATTAGCGTTTGGCACAAATAATCGTTTTTCTGTCACGCCAACCCAACCATCAAAAAAACCAAAAGCAAGACTATGTGTATGTAAATAAAAGAAATACAAAAAAAAAAAAAATGGGTAAATAAATAAAAATAAAAAAAATGTCCAACCAAATTTTATTGCATGCGACTCAAGAATCTGAAGAAGTTTTGCGCTAATTGCCCGCTTTGTTTATATTCTTGCTTAACGCTAAGTATTTTTCGTTATTTTTTTTTTCACTTTCGATTCGGTTGTGTTGCGGGGCGCCAAATTGTGCCAGGTCACAGAGCTGATAGATGGGCACAATCGGAGCATTTAAGTACTTATCATTCAAATAGACAAGTGATGCAATAGATCTGGTATCAGTTATCAGGCTAGAGATAAAGTGCTTCATTTGCACGAAATTGACTAGATGAAGCTTGGTAAAAGAAGGCAAACAAGTAAGAGGTTCTAGTCGGGAGCTCCCGACTAGGGGATACCCTGAACCCTCTTCTTTCAACATCAAATGCATATATATATTCTATTTTAGAAGCTATATTTCAGGTTTGGTGACTCTAGCTCTTATTATTTACCAAAAAAAAACAGAATATCGATCGAACAGAATATCAATCGATTTTTATCGATTGGTTAGAAACGGAGTAAGTTATCGATTATCGGAGGAGCACCTACATCTAAAATTTCTCTAGTCTCTAGCTCGTATAGGTTCTGAGATCCTTGCGCTCATACATACGGACGGGCAGACAGACGGACATGGCTAGATAGACTCGGCTATTGATGCTGATCAAGAATATATATACTTTTGGGGTCAGAGATACTTCCTTCTGTCTGTTACATACATTTACCCATTTTTAATGGGTTTAGGCTATAAATACATGTCAAGGCTGAACAACGGTCTTAAGCCCAACTGCTTCCAGCCCAGAATTCGTACCTTATGTTTATATAACCGAGCCATAGCCGAGCCTTGTAATACATCAAGGCCCAAAAACCAGACGTGTCCAAGCCTGAACCAAATTCAAACATTTCTGGTTGAGTACTTAAAAATATTGTTTCTACATTTTAAGGCAACATTTTAAATTATCTTAATCTTAATTTGATAAATAAACGTATTATTGCCTCCTAAGCCTAAAAAAATACGACGTAATGTGGCTCATCCGAAAGGCAAGATTATGGATAGCCAGGCTCACAAGCCAAACTTATTGGCGAAGCCGTGATTGGAACCGAGAGCATACCACCAACAATTTTATCTTCAGACTCCATAAGACTTTCCATATATGCGACTTACAAATGTACACTTATTTAATTTGCATTCTAGGAGATCCCTCAAACCGGAACATAATGTTTGCCTAACCCACATACACTTTATTAAGCCTATAAAATGCTAAACGGTAACTTCTGAAAAAATTGCGTGCATCACTTTTATTGTTATATTTAAAACTAGTATTTAATATAGTTTAAAATATATACTATTACTAGCGGGTATAGACCGGCCTTGCCCGTGGCACTTATGTAATAAAATCAATGTTCTCAAAAAGTTTTGAAAATGATTTTGAAACTGAGCGAATGGAAAATAAACTACTCTTATACGAACGTTTTTTGCCATTTTACCACTGTTGCGAGTGGAATTTCCCAAATCGCTGAAACACGTATTAATTATATTCTTATGTAGAGCTTTGAAAATAAGTTTGATGCACATCGGACACAACTTCAAATTCACAAAAAATATCCTTAAATGAACTTTCTACCGAAGGAGTTTAGATTTTGCAAAAAAAAATGCGAAACACGTCTTAAATATAGATCTTTTCATATAGATCCTTGGAAAAGAATTTGAGCGCGAAACATTTGGTGGACACCAAATCTTTGGCAAATATTTTTGCACCAGAGAGAAATACATTTTTGGAAAAGTGTAAAAGTCGAAATTGAGTTTGGGGCCGATCGGATGGTAAACAACAAAGGGTTCATTCAAACGTTTTTCGCGAAATTTCCATACTTGTGGGTGGAATTTCACGGAACCGCGTTTTAACGTGCACCTTCATCACATAGGGTAAAATTTCAGCTTCTTAGCTCTTACAGTTTGGGCTGTGCGTCAGTCAGTCAGTCAGTCACGACAAACAGTTTTATCTATAGAGATAGTATAGTTAGTATAGTAGAAACTATCAAAATATTTTTTAAATAGCATTGGATTCTTAAGGCTAAGCCACATCTATACTTTAGCCTGGGCTTCGAGCACGGACATTCACTGCTCAGTCGTGCTAATGACTGTGTCTCTTTTTTCTCAACCCGACTCTCGGATACCCTCAGTATCCGAATGTGTAATATTTTGAATGTGATCAGTGCGATGCATATGTATATGTGCATATGTAACTATATAAATGCTTTTTCGAATTGATCTTTAACCAGAGCTAACAGAAAGTTTTTGATGAAGTTGAGATAAAATTGACCAAAAAATTAACTCCAGACATTAAACAAAACTTGTTTGAAAATAAATGCTTGCCAAAATGGTTTTGTTCAAATTGAAAAACCTTTCGATGCAGACCCCGTCGCTTTGTATAAAAACCTTAGGACCCGACCATGATACAACCATGATAACAACCATGATAAAAACCATGATAACAACCATATTAGTTAGATGCCAAAATTTTGGGGAGATCAAATTTGGCCCGCAAATTCTATATGAAAATATCATATAACAATGTTTTCAGTAAAATTCCCATTTAAAAAAATTAGATTGCTGCAGTAAAATTGTGAATATATACGACAAAGATTGAACCAAAAGATTGACTGAGGAATAGCTGATCTACGAAACAGCGTTGGTTCAAGCCCTCAACAAAAACAATAGATAGTTTTCTCCGTGGCTTACAAAACTAAGCATAAACCACAATAATACGGCGGAACTAAGAGATATTGGCAATTTCAACTTCAATCTACATTCGGTAAGAGTTCAGATTTTCCAGCTCTATTTTATTGCATATAGGACTTGACTTATTGTTCTTCTTCTTCGTGGATGCTTTTTATTCTATGTATATACTTATATTGTTCTATATCGCTGTAATTACACATAACTTATTTGAGATTTCGAAATGGTACTTTTCTATAAGTGAACTAATCCAGAACGAACGATATTCGATCGAATGGATCAATTCATTCGATCTATTGAGTATATTTGCCATTGTTTGACTCACCTTCAATCTGTTTCATGGGACTCAGTCCGCCGGTCGTGTAGGGAGATGTCCAATAGTCATTTGCATAGCAGCCATAATCCGCCAGATTGCCGTTGAGGCCATTGTCCAGAAATGGCATTGTGGCCACCATGGCGCTGGCGCATTCCGTGGGGCCCATCATGTGTGTCATTTGGTCGATTTGTGCACGTTTGCCTTGACGTTTCGATATTTAAACGAGTATAGATGTATATATATATATATGTGTTATGTATTTGAGAGTCCAATTAAGCCACAAGGTATATGTATGCAGAAAATCCAAGAGCAAAAATAAACACGAAGTTGAAAAAGCTACTGAATCATTTAAATTGTTTTGGTTTAGGTATTCAGTTCTTGGTTTGTTTTGATTTGAAAAGTTTTTCGCGCAGTTGTCAAATTTGATTATTACACACGCACACACTGCAAAAAAAATAATAGAAAAGAAGAAGAAACTAATGGGTTGGCAACAACAATGCAGGGGCAAATCGGGTCTATAAACAAAATTCAAATGAGGCCCGCGAATGTGTTGTTGGAAAAATTGGAAGCTGCCGTTCAAGTTGTCAGTGTGTCAATCAGAACAACAACAACAAAAACAACAACACAATGGCACACACAAAAAAAAAGTGATTTAAGAAAAAAAAACACACACACACACACACACGAAAAATTGCAATTGCTTCAACACCTCGACGCAATTTTCAAATATTTTTACCAATTTTCCGTGTTTTTTTTTTTTTTGGTTTCAGTCTTGTGTTATTTTCTTTTCGATTTCCCGTTTAAATTTTCTTTTCTTTTTTTTTAGAGTATGGCGTTTTATGGTCCGATCGCGTTGACTGCCAAATTCTCTCGTTTCTTGACACAAAACAAATTAATTGAGCGAACGATTGATTGAATATACTCGGCCGCTCGCTAGATGCTTGATGCTTGTTGTTGCTGTTGTTTTTGTTGTTATTACGTATTGCGAATCCGAAGCGTTGAGGTGTCTCAATTGCCACCTTCCGGCCAAGTGCGAACTGATGTTGTCGATGATGTCGATGTCGATGTCCGTGATCCGTGATCCGTGATACCGCGCTGCGCGACTGTCGACACTTGACTCGCATTCAAATTGAAGTTCCACTAACTGCTGCTGCTGCTGCTGATGCTGCTGCTACTGTTGCTGCACACGCGCTCGCATCCGTATTGTCAAGAGTTTGACTGCGGAATGAGAAAGACGCATCGCACCCGCCCGTCCAATGGATGCTCGCTTCGCTGGGATCATGATGCTGGCGGCGATGCTCACCAATCGCTGCGCCACTTGAGACTTGCACACGACCGATCAGCATCCAAATTTAGCATTGCCTATGTGTGTGTGTGCGCTGTGTGTGTGCGTGTGTGTGCGTGTGTGTGCGTGTGTGTGCTGGGTGTGTATCCAAGTGCATGCGCCTATGTGTAGGTACGCATCGAGTGGCCAATAGCAGCAAAGCTTCACTCGGATCATGGACGAGTAATTTGGTCTGGCAATACAGGTCTCTGCATACACTACAGCACAAATTTGCAACTTTTGATTAGTGCAGGCAGACCATGAAATACTCTTTAAATAGATGTAGGAAAACTATGTACACACATAATCAAGCATGTTAGTATTATACTCTGCATTATCTTACCCGTTGTCTGTCCCCATTTTAATAAGTTTCTTGTGCACCCTTTTTTTGTATTGTGTATTTAAATTCATATATGATCTCAGCGAATTTCAAAAAAAGCAAAGCATTTACAACATGTTAGATGCGAAAAATACTAAGCAAGTGATGTGCTCACATCTTTAATTGTAGGGTATCCGTGTATGTGCAGCGTCAGCTACAGTGAAGACTGTTTTAAAACAATCGAATTTAACAGATGTTGGCCTCTGAGTCCAAATATGTAAAATATGCATATATTGATGTGTAAGAAATCAAGCGTCAGAATTCTGGAAAAGTTCACATGCAAATTTTCAGCAACTTCCGTAGATAATGTAGTATACAACGAATATAAAATAATAAAAAAAAAATATTTAATAATATATATATATTTATATATATATGAAAACGGACAAAACATAAACCTATTTTAATCTTGCTCAATCTCTGGGAATTTTCTGTGTAGTTCGATTTGCTGAAACTTCTTGGCATAGCTGGTCGCAATCCATTGTAGGCAGCATTCACTGTGCGCTCCACATGCGATATGTGCTCCCGCTCTTAAACATTTCGAACGAACGCTGATCATTGGCCACGCCCCCGGCGTACCATAACTGGTCGAGGCAACGGCCTGCTTGCTGGATTGCTCTGCTCCGATGATCTCCGTTTTGAGTGGGCGTGCTGACTCATTTGAATGCGGCTGGCGCTGCAGAAGAAGCGGGTACGCTTCAGATGGCCCTCATTTGGAAAATGCTTTTAATTGGACTGCTACCACATGGTGGTGTGGTGAGCCACATAGCCGGAGCCATAAATACAAATTGCGCCATAACCTCGACACTAAATAAACCGTAAAGAGCGGCCCTCAATGATCGGTTCTCGGCGAGCACCGGCGGCTACAGCGGGGCACCAGCATATGCTCTAGCCGCTTGTGTTGGCTCATCAAAAAAAAAAAAAAAAAAATGGCGTCTGTTGGCCATTAGCGTGGTTGGCCCGCTGTCTGGTACTGCGCCTGAGCCGATCAAAGCAAATGCGAGCGGGATCTGTGCCGACTGCGGCAGAATCTGTATTGCTGCTTTCCTTTCCTTTCGATTTATATTTTTTTTGTGCTTTTTTTTTGTCTTTGTTTTTGTTTTTGTCGGCTTTGCTTGTTGGTGTCTGTTTTTCATCACCCGCACTCATTCAATTAACGGTAAATGCAGCAACGGCCGCCATCGCTGCTCCAAACGCTTAAGTTCCCAATTGATTCTACTAAACCCCCCCACCCCACACCACACACCTGGGTATTACCTGTGCCCGCGACTTGCTCTATTTGTTTACCTTTGCATTTTTGTTGCATACATAAGTACATCTATCTATAAGTTTATCTACGCCTATATTTATACATATGTATGTATTCTTATATTGTTGTTTCCAAGCTATTCCATTATAAATCTTAGCATCCAGTTACGCCCAGGATTCACATTGCCCGCTTCGGGTGCTCTGTTGTTTCTCTGTGCGCTGTTTACAATTATTTTGAATTAAGTGGTTTGCAGTTTGTTTGCCTCAGCCCCAGCGACGATGCCAAGCAGGCAACAATTCCAGACTCCGAATCGATCCAATCGATCTAAACAGAATCGAATAGCAGAGTACATAAATAATACAAATGTTCTCTAAGTTATGGCATGTTGCTATTACTTTTTAATTGCCATAATTTATTAATCATTTCTGCCAAAATGCAAATCATAAACATTTAAAATAATAATTTTTAACAACATGTGTTGTCCAAATACCAATCTTGAGAAGCGCATAGAAAGGCGCGCGTTGCACAGCATGAGATGACCATATGTAAACATATTTAGCAACATTTTCTAGATGAGATATATACTTAAAAGGGTTCATTTTTTGTTTTTTATGCGAGTCGTGGCTGCTTACTAGTGGGCGTGGCTCAAGTTATGTACAGCTTCAATAGCTCCGAACTATCATACAGAAACATACAGAGAACAGCAAGACAGAAGTTACACAAAATCATTATGTTCTTGTTTCCTCTTTTAGCCTTTAAATAACCAAATTGAGTCAATTTAATAGCAATCTGATCTGTGCTTTACAAACCTTTTTTTCCAGTCTGATATAATGAATACGCATTACTTAAAACCCACCCAAACAGGCGGAAAATAGGTGGAAAATTGATAAATAGTTATAGTAGCTAGAATATTAACTTTTTTATTGTTCTAATAAGCTGCTCTGTTTATCTAGAAAGAGAAGATTTTATGTACGTTTCATTATCATCACATTAAGATAACTCAAATGTCTTCCACTTGCTTTCCCTTAGATCTTTCTAGATTGTATTGAATCTGAATAGCTAAATGGATCTGACCATGCCAAAAATTAATAAATTAACTTATTTCAAAAAATAAAACTTAATTAATTTTCAATACAGAAAAAATTGAAAAAAAAATCTAGCCAAATTAGGCACTTTTCTTGGACGCTTCAAGCTATTTTTAATCGTGGTAATCAAATTTTGGCAGCACTGGTATTATGTGTCTAACCTTAAATACGTACATATTGACTAATATTGGATCGATTGGGTTGAACTTGAAATAATAATATCAATAATAATGTTAACTGTTGTTAGTAAAGCATTTGGTATTTGTCGGTCTTTGGACTTGTTGGGTATATATGTTGCCCTCTTTTGGAATAGTTTCGAATATTGTTATGTTTATGTACATCCGTTTCAGCTCAGCTGGCATATTTATCATGGATATGACGAAAATTTTGAATTAACTGAAAATAATTGACTTTTTTTGATGTGCTGCACTTGGCTAGGCGTACATATTAAAATTTTGTCAATTGAATCAGAACCAAAACCAAAAAGTAACTAAAAGAAGGAAAAAAAAAAATTAAAGTAAACAATTTGTCCAATTCCTGATCCAAGCTGTGGGCCAGTTTCTGGTAGCCGCGTGGCTTTTTTTTTTTTTTTTTTGCTTTTTATTTCTTGCAATTCTTTTGGTTCTTCCTGATATTGGAAATGATGCTGCGAGACATGCGGCCAGCTGCCAGGCGTAATCCGTTGCGGAATGGCTGGTGCTTGCAGCTCAGACAGCGTTGCAGATCTTCCAACAGATCATCATCTTTGGGCAAGTTGTTGTTGTTGTTCTTCTTGCTGTTCTTGCTGTTGTTGCTGCTGTTCTTGTTGCATGGAAAGGCGATGCCGGAGACGGTACTCTTTAAGTCAGAATTAGCATCTAGTTGTTTAGCATCTGCCCTCAGATCGGCATCGACATCCACATCGATATCGTCATCGGCATCGACATCGACATCGGCGTATTTCAGCACGTTTGGATCCGTTGACTTGCGATTTTTCTTGACGGTACTCTTGGAGCAACACCAGTAGGCGGCCAGAAAGTCCAGCTCGTCGGAAGATGTGGAGCTCTGCTCCTCCTCCTGCACACATTCCTCGATCTTTCGTTCAGGCTGCCTTATAAAACTGTTTGTGGACAGCTTCATATCATCCGCGCTAAGCGAACGCTTTACCCTCAGATGATCCCGTGTCCGACGTAGTCCACTGGGTGTACGCTCGTGCCCGCCCTTCTTAACAGTCTGTTCATAGTTCTCGGCAATACGCGATACGTGACGCTGTTTTTGGTCCAGCTTGTCCAGTTCGAGCTCCTTTTCACGATACTGCTTGGGCGTCAGCACCAATGGCTGCCAGTATAACTCCAGCGTGGACATGCGCTTCACGCCCTCATCCTCCAGGATGCTGTCGTTGGTCAGCAAGCGTCCCTTATATGTCAGCCTGCTGAATGCCATCGGTACGTTCATGCTGCGACCAATGCGCTTCTTTAAATCGGCCACGTTCCGGGAGCGATCGGTCTCATATATGTTTTTACGACCGTCACGGGTCAGGACTTGGATCTGCAACTTGCGCATCTTACAAACGGCAACTGGAATGTGCATCTAAAATGGATTGAGTTTGTCGGACAGTCCACGTAGAAATGATTTATGCAACTCGTCTGCTATTTTATGTAATTTATTACGGAAAATTGTGTGTAAGCCTTTAATCTGGTTGTTTCTTAAACGAAATAAAACTCAAAGCATCGTCTGTGATTTTACAGATTGAAAATAACAAAATAAAAATAAACGAAATCAAAGTAAAAATTCAAACAACATTTATTTAACTGCATTTACTAAAGAAGTTTCCTTTTATACAAGCTCACATGTTTATGCAATGAAATTCGTAATCAGTTTCGAGTATCGAGAGTTAATATAACTTTTTAAGTAATTTCAAATATTTTATATACATATAAAAGTTTTGACTGAACTAAGGCAAAACTTGTTTGACCCGGATTTTCATTACTACAATTTGTATTTACCATAGACCGAAACTTAGGACGGGTTAGTTG